GAAGGGCGATAGTAGGTACAAGGGACACGGGCCCTTGGCACGACCGCCCTGTCGATATCCAACCACACGGCGTGGCTTTCACCGGTCGGATTTAGACGACATTGATCAAGGCGCGATAGAGGCTTGATCTAGGTTGGGGGGTGTGTCGATTGGAGGACGTCATCGTCTGATGATAACGATGGCAGACATCATCGAGAGCAAACTTGAAGACGCACCGCGTGGGACAGCGATGGGTGTCACAACTTCACCAGGAGAAGAGGCAGGTTTCGTAGCACGTTGCGAAAGAGAATGCGTCATTGATCACTAGTACTATTCTCTTGTCATGTCGGACACATGCGCAGCGCTGCATCATATCAAAGAGTGAGCGACGTTTGTCCGGGATTTACACCATGTGTCCAGACGCCTGTATAGAACTGCTCTGACCGAGAATCAGCGTGTTTGAACGCACGTACCTGATAAACACGTCGGTGGGCGACGATCTGCTTGACATGAGCTTTCAAGAGCTACTGGATGATGCGGTAAAGCAGCACACGACCAGCCTTTTCTTTAATGGAAGACCTCGGTGGTTTTGACGACTGGTGAATGACCAGAACGGTGCTTTGAGAAGACTCCAGGATGATATCGGAGCGCATGTACCGAAGTTTCCGAATCATTGGGGATCTGAAACTGGAGAGTAACTAAGCATTGACAGCTATCACAAGCCGGCGGGAGGACCCTCATGGTCAAGTGTGAGTAAAATCTAACGTGTAGATGATTGCAGTCACTGGATGAACAGTATGATCATGTCGAATGAGGGCAGAGCATACCTTGTCGGAAGTGCAAGGGCTTTGTGGCTCGAAATGAAAGCCGCATGTCTGCAGTGACAAGTCCGACTCGCCCGTGGACCGTGGCGCCGCTTCTTCGCATCGTGGTACGGTGCTGGAAGGGTAAAGTGGCCTTCCCCGGAAGGGTCGCTGTAAGTTTACTTGATGGATAGGAAGGTGTGACTGGGGATATGAATGTCGAACTCGATGCATCTCAACCGGCCGATGTTGATGCTATCCGAGAAGTCCCATGCAAGAGAGTTCACATAGAGATACGAGCATCGTTCGGAGGAAATAATATCATGGGGGATCTGCCATTGAAATACGGTAGTAGGAAATGAAGATAGGGTTCCTGCGGGTGTTTGTTGATACTAAAGCTGGAGATACGGTGATAGTGAGAGGGTTAACGTGATAGGGGGCTTTCTCTGTGACTGGGAGTACCTGCGTGGTGCGTGTCACCAGTCCGTATGAACGTGAAGTTTTGGATGGAGAACGTGCGCACGCGCGGGGGTGTGACAGGTGTGACGGGGTGGGGGCTCGAATTGGATATGCCGAGTTTGGGAGATGACGCGAGGATGGCACGTGTCCCGAGTCAGATGGCGTGCAAATCCATATTTGTCGGCATTATGTCCGGAAAGGGCAAGGGCTCGGGGGAGATCTGGTGTGCGATATACTGCGTGACAGGGATGGTGTGACAGAGACGGTCGCGTCACCCGTGCTTAGACGATGCCTTATATTGCAGCCCTCCCATGACTCGTCCACTCGTCCCGCCCTCTCTGTCTGTCGCGCCCTCCCATCGCCCAAGTCGTCCCAAACGACGTCCCCGACACCGTCCCCCGCGGTAGCCGACAGCGACAAGCCCCTCGTTCACAAATATCCTATCCCCGCATGTTCGAGGAAACACTGGTGTGCATGCACTGCGGCAGGCCGGTTGATGGGTATGTCGTCCTCAAGGCAGTCCCATGAAGCCCTCTTACGTTTATTTTCTCCTTTGCATTCCCCATATATAAACAGCCAAGTGTACTGCAGCGACGAATGCGAGAGCCTTGACGCAACCTCTCCCTCTGCATCCGCGTCCAGCAGCGCCTATCCTTCCCCATATCTTCGCTCAACCATGAATGCGCCAGGGAACCTGGCCGACATCCCTCCCCTGGTCCCTTCCGCCCTGGGTGGTTCAAAGGCGCACAGAGGGCATCGTGCTCAATACTCAATCTCATCCTCCTCAACGTCCTCTGCTGGCTGGTCTGCCCTTTCGGATGAGGAGGATGAGGATGCGTCCTACCCCCATGTTAACATCGAAGGCGAAAACTCGTTCGTGCCCGAAGGCTACGGAGAAGGGAGCCTGAAGTCTTCACTCCATCCACACTCTGCACTCCTATACGCTCGCCGGCCGTCAACCACGAACCATCGGTCGACAATTCCCCTACTGCATAAGCGTGCTTCATCCACCTCTAGCCCTCTAACTGCCCCCGTGAAGAGTCCCCTTCGGGTTCCCCTTTCTTCCCCAACTGCAGAAGACGACCTGTCCGACGTTCCGCCCATGTCACTATCGTCGTCGGTGTCGTCTACACGGTCACGCAAAGACACTGTCCGTCCAGCCAAGAAGGACACAGTCTCGGCATCTGCGCATGACGCTAGTGAAGATCCTACCGTCTCAAACAAGCGCCGCACCCGAAATCGCACCAGCCTCCCCGCGTACTTTTCGTTGCTCCAGATGTCCCCAAGCTCGCCGCCGACGTCGCAATCGTCCAGCTCGTCCAATTCCCGCCAAGCCCTCGCCAATCTTTCCCAGTCCCTTCGTGCATCACCAGCAACACCACGCCTTGCGCATCCTCTTCTGCACACCGCCCATGCTCATGCCGAGCCTGCAAGCCGGTCTGCTACCACGGTAGAAACGACCCCTCGTGGTCGTTTCGAGCGGAGGAATCCCGAGACACGCTCGATATCAGGTCGTCGCTCGCTTGGACGCTCACCACCTCGCCAACCATCCCGCACAAAGGCATCTTCCCCATCCCCTTGCCGTCATCATCCACCTCTCGGAAGTCAGGCCCGTGCGCGCTTGGACAGCGTCGAGAAAGTGTTCGAATGGGTCTCTAATAGCCCCAGTCACCTACGAGGACGCACAGTGACGCGTCGGAACAGCTCGCCACCAGCCAAACCGAACAAACGCGAACTAGCCAAGGATACTGGTGCCGTTCGGGATCTGTATACTCGCTGTATGCAGCAGGCGGTGTTAGATGACGAAGAGATGCAGAGGCCACGGAGGAAGGAAGATATTCGCGGGCGTCGAACAACAGGCGAGCTTGACGACCTCGAGACTAATCCCGATGCCCCTGGTTATGGGAACGGTCGTAGCGGGTTGAAAACTCGGGAACGACAACGTGGGCGCACGGCAGGCTTCCGGTAGGCATGAAGCTTGCCAACAAAAATCTTGCATTCTTCCCGGACGGATACGCACGCATGCATGGAGAAATTCTGGCAGGGAGTTCGATATCTATTCACATTTACCCCGGATCATGGACGCATCTGCAGACTGCAGCAACCCATTAGTCGACCTCGATATCTCAACATATCTATTGGCTTCCAGCTCTCACCCCTCAAAACGACCGCTCCACTTCTCTTCACGCCGCACAGTCCGCCGTTGTTCTTCACCGGCTTTGACTGTCACGAAAAACAAATCACCTCCCATCACTTCTCCACTCAAAAATCACACACGCCGGTCCCATCCGATGTATTTTATCGAACGCATCCCACACTCCACCACATTCTTGCTCATCGTTTCCCCTATTCTCTTCCGTTCGCGAGGTAGTCCTTCCTCTGCTTTCGTTGCCAGAAGCTACATGGTGCATCGGTTTCCCTGCGTTCTCTGGTTCCCGAGCGGCTCCATTCATCGGGTGTTGGCCTTCTCGTCTCCTTTTTCACGCTATCCTCCATTCACATTTTCACGCATCAGAACTTTACGAAGATCAATAGCAAACACAATCATCTTGTCCAATAGCATTAGCATAGCAAAACCCATCATCACCCACTGTCACGCATTTCCTCCTTCCTAACCTATTCCCTTGATCTCGCAATATCACCCCTCTCGCATTCCCATCTCACGCTATCATTTGGAAAAATACTCACTTTGGATCACTTGGAACTATGCATGTATCGTACCATTTAACGCAATATACTAGTGGACAAGACGAACTAGATCCCTCTCGCGTGATGGCGACTTCAAGGTTCGTCATCTTGGGCACGCTGTAGCGCGCGGCACGACCACTCTGGGACGAGTTATTGTCAGCGTGAGGATGCGGAACAAAGCGCAAGGAGAGGTTAGACAAGTATGGGGTCATCCGTGGGCGGTCTACTAACGAATAGAACAGTCCCTGGGTCAAAGGGGAAATGCCCAAGATTCAGTCGGCGAAAAAGGTTCCTGAGGAATGTCGGTTACGAGTTTAGAGAACGCCACCAAGGTTGTCACAGGACCTGCGGTCAAGCGTTTCTCGTGTCGAAGCTTTGAAGCGTTGGTCTTGTCCTTTTGGTACAATGAGGACATTCTGTTGTGACCGTGTCCCCCGCCCTGAATGTGCCGCTGAATGGTAACTGACGGTAACTGTCAGTGTTACTGACGATACAGTAACTTGTGGGTGGGCTTCAACTTATGAGATCTTGACGATTCTTCACCTTTTGACCTCCGGGAGGTTCCAGAACCGTCACCTTCTTCGGTGAGCACTTGCAGTTCGACCGAACGTTGCTGTTGTATATCGTGGCGCAAGTGCCTGCAATCTCGTTACCTCGATTGACCGTCGGCTGCACCGTCGTTACCCCGCATTTTATTGCATCACGCGTAACGCACCGATATGGTTCTCCTAAGAATCGTTTTAGGCTCGTCGTCGGTTCCGATGGCCAGTGCCACCTCGAGGCTCAGGCGTGCGGCCCCTTGACGCAAAAAAACGCAAAGTGTCGCCAATGTGAGGATAATATACGGCCATGTACCCGCTTATTTGACCGTCACTGTAGTCAAATTGAATTGTTTTGTGTGCAGCAGCTGACCCCAAACACATCTGAAAAGAATACCATCAAGCAGCTTGTCACGCAGTTCGGTGGACTCGGTAAATCGAACTCACACAGAGCAAAGTGCACAGAGACCAAAGCTTCACGATGTCAGCACGATAGGAGGGGGGGAAGGAGTGAAAAAGGCTAAAAAAAAAGTGGTTCAATCCGGACTCGAACCGAAGACCTCTCGTGCTCTCGTCATGTAACGAGCTCTGTACAATCACATGATTGTGAGACGAACGTGATAACCAACTACACCATTGAACCGACGATATAATCCTGCCTCAAATCTATCCTGTCAAATGTAAGAATACCTTGCATTTTGCATCGCGTTGTCTTGAGCGATGATGTTCAACATGGGAAGGGCATAACAAGAAAGAAAGACTTGAATACCCTTGTCACAGTCGGTCGGGGAGTATGAACTCACGGCGAGCCCAGTTCTGACGACCTGTGCACCAAAAGTCGCCTCCATGGGTAGGCGAGTGTTTTATTTTCCATACGGTCCATCTCTCTAGCACGGTCCGAGAGATTCCATTCGAGGATACAAGGCTGGTAAACTCACACGGTGTAGAGTTGACCTTCCCAACTGGTTGGCGGGCGAGGACCAAGCTAACACCTGTGCATACATCAGTAACATTAAGGTTGTATATGTCGCTGTCGCGAATGCTCGCCATTTTTGACGAAACAGCTGAGGCCTGAGTCTGGTGGTGGGATGCGCATCATGTGACAGTCACAGACTCAGCAGTCAGCGACTGACACTGACAGTGAGAGACCACATCCCGCGCGGAAGGCGACATATTGCTCGCCTTTACAGTGCCCGATGCGATGTGTCCAGGTATTTATGACAACTTACACCATACAATTTGTTACCTTTCTAGCACTTGCAAGCTAGGCGACAGTCCTTCAAGGCCGCCTGGATGTTCGTTGCAATGCTGCTCTTGTCTACTGGCCTCGGTCAACTGGAGCGATCGCAGATTGTCTGCATACCAAGGTTTCGGAGTCGGGAGCACATCCCTTGACTGCAGATGTAAAATTCGCAGATGGCTGAATGGGGTGCGTTAGAGAGAGGAGAATAAATGAATGGGACTCTTTGAACTAACACACGAGCATGACTTGTCCAGGGACCGATACTCTGCACCTCGATCGCGTCCTCCGCATTGCAAGGATAGGGAAGGTTGGCAATCGGGATGTATGCGCCATAACAATGTGTCTTTCGGCATTACTGCACCATTCACTCATCCGCAAAGATTGACGTTCCAGTGACACTTCTCTTCAGTATATTTCAGCAGGGTGAGAGCTGTTGTCATCGAAATACTTGTGAGAGTTCGGGCTTCGCATGCATTGCCACCTCTGGAAAGGTGGATGGAGATCAGCCGGAGCTGTTTTCCAAAAGGTGTGAACGTGTAGAGTTGATAACGGGTAGATAGAGAATACGCCTGGCTTGCTGTCGAGATCAGATTAGTTCTTGGAATGTGCTTTGCAGCGGCTCTGCGGCCCACGGGCTGAGGCCATCGGATTGAGAGTTATGCCCCCGAGTAGCGCTACTGATAGCTATCTTGCGGCACATTCAGCTGCGAGATCGTTTGCAACTGCGAAGACAGAGAACTGCGCATTCGATAGAGTTGAGGGAGTGGTGGTTGTGAGCAAAGATGAAATATCGGGAACGCCTGTAAAGCGCGTGGAGGAATCAGCACTCCGCTCAGACTAGGCGGTAATGAGGACCGTGCAAGACAACAACAGCCTGCTCGTGCCCCCGTCGTCCCGTCTTTGTTCTTCACACCGCTCATCGTCCCAAACCTCCTCGGGAACACTCTTATCGACGCCCAACCCAGTACTCCCACAGTCCAAAGCGCATTACGACTAGTCATCATTGATTCACACTCCCCGACCACCTCTGCACGGGGCACCGTCCCTTCCACCTCCTCAACCAACACCACCCACACATCTGATACCGTTCCCTCGAGTCTAGTCTCCTCACCGGCAACGAGAGGTGCTCTCACGACCGTTAGCTCCAGCCCAAGTCTCATCCCCTCCACGCGTACTCGGCTGGAGCTCGAGGAGGGCGATTCAGACGACCTCCCTTCTGCTTCCTTAGCACTCTCATCTGGTGCTGCCAATCCATTTACATTCTTACACCCCTCTTCAGGAGCCCGACGTACCTCTGCACCCTTCACCAGTACTCGTTCCGAATACGATTCGGACACCGCTCGTGCTAGGAAGCGACAAAGAGTTAGCAGTCTCAACTCCGATACCACCGTAGAACACTCCTCGTTTCAAGAGGAATCCTTTGCACCCACCATCCCACATAACAGCATGAGGCTCACAGAAACGGACAATGATTCTACACTGTCGGTTTCATTTGATTCAACGCAAGAGGCTGGACCTTCGTCCACTGCGCCGTTAGCCAATGGCCACAACGGTGTTACAAAGACGAACGGCTACTCTGGATCTTATGCTAACGGGAATTCTAAGACCCGTTCTCCGGACGGGATAGAGGGTCGAGTGGCGGAGAGGTCTCGTATGGGCATCTCCAGGGTATCACTGCCAGGATCCACCCTCTATGATGACTCTACCATAGACCGGGAGGAGTTCGTACGGCTAGTTATTCAGAGCTTGAGGGACGTTGGCTATATGTGAGCTCATTCCTTACTTTCATTGTGAGTCCATCATGATATCCCCCGTTTCTAGTGAATCTGCCGCAACTTTGGAAGCGGAGTCGGGCTACACCATGGAATCGGCTGAAGTTTCCGAGTTCCGGCAGTGTATTCTGGACGGAGACTGGGATAATGCAGAAGCAGCATTGCTGCGTCTGGGGGTTGCGGATGAGGATGGACTTTGGGTCAGTGTCACCGTCGACTCTCGGGATGTCACTTACTCACTGCCGCTTCTTCAGGAGGCCAGATTCTACATCAGCCAGCAGAAATATTTGGAGCTATTGGAAGCAGGGAAGACTGGGGCAGCCTTAACTATTCTCCGGCAGGAACTTGCACCGCTAAATGTGGAACCAGATCAACTTCATTCTTTGTCGAGGTAAGGAGCTTTATTACAACGGTTTAGAGCCGGTTTCGCTGATTATCTGTCCGTAAGTCTTCTCATGTGCGCTGACTCGAGCGATCTTCGGCAACGGGCTAACTGGGATGGTGCGTCGGGGACTTCAAGGCGTCGACTTCTGGTAGACCTTCAACGTTCGTCATCACGCTTGCTTGATTTATGTTCTCGCTTCACAATGTGTTTACAGGTTATATTCCCTCGTCCGTCATGATACCGCAACGAAGATTTGCCACCCTGTTGGACCAGGCACGAAACTACCAACAGAATCGATGTTTATATCACAATGCACCCACGAACGCGCGCACATTCTCACTGTATACGGACCACCTGTGCGACGAGCACGCGTTTCCCAGGGTTGCAACAGCCATCCTGGACGGCCATACTGACGAGGTGTGGAATCTACAATGGAGTCACAGTGGGAACTTTCTTGCAACTGCGAGCAAGGATAACTCTGCAATAATCTGGCGAGTAGGGGTAAGCTGCATATTTAACTTTACAGCCGACGATCTACTGATGTTATCTTAGACTGAAGAGGACCCTTCAACCCGAGATTACTGTGCACAACACATCCTACGGGAGCATCCTTTCCCTGTCGGCTGTGTAGCTTGGTCATTGGACGACTCCATATTGCTCACAGCAGCGGAGAACTACATCAGAATGTGGAACACACGGGTATGCATCTTACGATTATGCATTGTCATTCCTTGCTCATAACCTTATCCTCAGACTGGCGTGATTGTTCGAGTATTGGACACACACACAGACGTGGTCACCGCTCTTGTCTGGCTTCCAGACGGATCGGGGTTCATCTCAGGCGGTCTCGATAGGAAGATCATCTTGTGGGTAAGTGAACATTTCAATCCCGTGGTCCCGGTGCAGCGCGATTGAACCACATAATATCAGGATGCCGATGGAAAGCAAAGGGACACTTGGGGTCGAACACCGATTCGAGTGACCGACCTTGCCATCACTCCGGACTACACACGACTCGTCGCAATCGGCATGTACGACACACCAGCCCCACCCACAGCCGCAGCCACAGATACAGCCACAGCATCGGGGGGAACAACAGTAGTAAGTGGGACAAGGCCGTCGGAAAACCGTGTCATCGTGTACGACCTCGCTACTAAACAGCCTACATTGTGAGTCTCGTTTCACCGCCACTCAGAAATCTACGATCAATACTGACATGTTCGTGTATCGCCTTTAGAACAATACGGATGGAAGGCGAGCTGACCAGCGTGAAGATATCCCAGGATTCACGGTATGCCTTGATCAATCGCTCTTCGGGTGCAGATACACCTTGTGTGAGTGGTGTTTGTTAGTTGCGCAGCCAATATTTCTCACTCTTGCGTTCTCATATAGGAGATCCACTTGTGGGATCTGAAAGAAGAACAGCTGGTCCGGAAATACACGGGGCAAACGCAGTCGGAACACGTAATCCGAAGTTGTTTCGGAGGTGTGGACGACAACTTCATCGCGAGTGGAAGTGAAGGTACGTCTGCTGTGTGAACTCTTGACCTTCCGCGCCTTCCGCTCAATGTTCCTTCCGGTTATACAGACGGTCATGTCTATCTGTGGCATCGGGACACAGGTACTCTCTTGGAGGATCTGGCTGGACATGGAAACGGTAGCGTCAACGCGGTGGCGTGGAATCCCAACGATGCGCGGATGCTTGCCACATGCTCTGATGATCATACGATTCGGATATGGGAAGCGGCACCCACACATCCACTCAGTCTACAATCGCATCTTGACGAGGTTGACTACGACCATAGTGGAAAGGGGAAAGGTAAGGGCAGGGGATCATGGGCAGGGATCGTCAACTAGACAATGCTTTTTGGCCCAACAGCATCGTCGTTGTAAACTCTTAATATTGCATTGTATCATTGCTAGCTCACATTTCCACGCTCCTTCTTGTTTGCATAGTCCACCCATCTCATTCATTTCCATCTTGCATTCCCCCACCGCACCAACACCTACCTGCATTTGCTGCTTCACCTGCCTTACTGTTATCTCCGCAATGCCCCGTTCCCAGATATCAAGCACACGCATAGAATGTCACAATATAATGCTATTCATGGAATTCCTGCTGCGTGCACCGCCTCGCTAACGGTGAACTTGCAATCTCCAAGTCTCTCATCTCTAAACCTCGCACGCGGCTCAAGCGACACGGTCACATGACCGTCACGCGCTCCTTCTCATGTGACCGTGCT